AAATCTTGCCTAAAAGGTGTAATGAGAGATCCTTATATTTGAAGAAAGGAGAAGTGGAACCGTGGAACGGCAAGAACCCCCCTCCTATAAGGATCTCTTGCAGGAGTAAGACCAGAACCTTTGTGGTGTTTAGACAAGACCTTGAGCAAGGGATCGGTTCATACACTGAAGACATTGGCGATCTCTGCATTTTCCTAGGCCAAAGGGAGGCCTTTTGCGTCTCTGCAACCGAATATCCCGGACTTCACCCTAATTCTGTCTACTATGCAAGCTCGGGCATTGGGTTTGGTTACTACGACCTCTCCTCCAACACTCTCCACGACGTTATCCATGAGGCCCCTTTCTCGTGGCTTGTCCCTCTCCAGTAAATATAGCTTATTTGCTCATAAACTGTTGTAACTTATGTGTTGTTTTGTGCCTTTTCCGACTATTTTATATTAATTCGGGATTTGTTTGTATGTTTAACTTATGACAATCTCGACAAGGATCCTGACATATTCTCTCGCTAATTAATCTCATTTGTATAGCTAAACATAAAAAATGTCTGAGAACATTATAAAAATATATTTTCAACTTTAAGTGAACAAATATTTAGTTGTTTTTTTTTTTGCTGTTAAAATGTCATTTAGTATTTCTTATGTAAATTCCCAAAATTATTGGATGTCACTCATTTCTTTGTTAGTTCCCAAGAAGTAATAGATGGCATTCATTTTTTTTTATTTTAGTTCCCCCAAAAATAATAGATGTCACTCTTCAAATTTAGTACAATAATGTTTTAGTAGAAAATAGTATTCATAATGAACAACAACAAACATAATAGATTTTTATTCAATGAATATTTATGTAAATATATTTAAGGGTATAAAGTGCATATCAAAATAGATTACATGGATTATATTTTTAGGTTATATGAGTTTAAAACTAGAGGTACGAAACTCCATAATTAAGACATTTATTATCATATAGAGCTAGAAGAACACATAAACTCCATAATTAAAACACTTAGTCAGATAAACCCCCAAGTATACATACATCAGCTCCCAGTACTTGGACTCCATGACAAAGTGAACGTGCAGCTCTTCTCAGAACCGGTCCGGTATTTTCGAATGCCCTAAACAAATAAAAAACCGTGCTCTTTATACTTTCATATAGTAATATAAAAAAAGTCATACTAAAACTAGATAAAACACCTTTTAAATCCATAAACAGTTTGTAAGAAAAGAAAAAAAATAGTAAAAATAACTTTATTTCTTTCAATTCTATTCTTCAAAGCAAAGTCTTTCATTTCATAATTAAAGTCACATATCTTAACAAGCAAACAGAATATAAATTAATAATGAAATCAATCAAAGAGAAAATTTTGTACAAAATTCTTTTTTTGGTGAAGACAATTTTAAATTCATACAAAAATAAAAAGAATTTTTTTTTGGTTTAGTTTAGTTTTTTTTTCTAAACGGGTTCAAATTTACTTAATTGGGCCGATTGACATATATTGAAGCCGACCCAAGGAAAGTCGGCGTTATACAAAAGTCCCACATCGGTTTGTTAGAGGAAAGGGTCTTTGGAATTGGTCCTATATATATATAAGCATCTGCATCTGCTTATTTTGTTAACAACTCTTAATTGCAAAATTATTAGTCGGCCATGTGACTCAATGAGTTGAGTCGGCCGCCCACTTCGGCTAGGCGCCATAGTTATTTTTTTTTCTCTTCGCTGTTTTTTCTCGGATTTTTTCTTTGGTTTTCTTTGTTCAAACGTTTTTTATTTTAATTAAAGTTTTTACTATAAAATATTTTTGGTTTTCAAATAATATAAGTGTTAAATTTCAATGCCATTGAAAACAAACCGGACTAAGCATGCTGTCCCATCATACGGGTCCGTAAGTCCGTGTTATTAGTTCAACCGTTTTTCACGCAAGTAAATTTAACACTTATATTATTTTTTATAGTTTTTTACAAATATTTTTATTATGTAAACTATTTTTTAAAAACTATATTTTTTTATTATATAAAATGTTTTTATTTCAAAGGTTTTTATTTAACTAAAGTTTTTAATATGTAAAGTATTTTTGTTTTCAAATAATCTAAGTGTTAAATTTCAATGCCATTGAAAACAAACCGGACTAAGCATGCCGTCCCATCATACGGCTCCGTAAGCCCGTGTCATTTGTTCAACCGTTTTTCACGCAAGTAAATTTAACACTTAGATTATTTTTTATAGTTTTTTTACAAATATTTTTACTATGGAAACTATTTTTAAAAAACTATATTTTTTACTATACAAAATGTTTTTATTTCAAAGGTTTTTTTTTTCAAGTTAAAATTTTTTATTTTTTTGGCAAATATTTTCTATTTTAACTAAAGTTTTTATTATTTAAAGTATTTTTTTTTTAAATAATCTAAGTGTTAAATTTCAATGCCATTGAAAACAAACTGAAATAAGCATGCCGTCCCATCATATGGGTCCGTAAGCCCGTGTTATTAGTTCAACCGTTTTTCACGCAAATAAATTTAACACTTAGATTATTTTTTATGGTCTTTATACAAATATTTTTATTATGTAAAGTATTTTTTAAAAACTATATTTGTTATTACACAAAATGTTTTCATTTCAAATGTTTTTTGAAGTGAAAACATTTTTTTTTACTTTTTATTTTCTGATTTGAAACTAATTTTTTCAAATAATGTTTTTTTATTTAACTAATTTTTCACTTAACTAATTTTTTTTCAGTTAAAAGGTTTTTCATTTAATACGGCCTAAACATCCCGTCTTTCGGGTCTTAGTTCAACCGATTTTGGCGTAATGTAACTTAACACTTAAACTATTTTTTCTGGTTTTTAATAATAATTTTGTTATGTAAGGCCCATCATTCCCGGCTAATTCTAGTTTTGGTTATGAGAGAGAGAGAGAGAGTGTGGCGAAACAAAACATGTACAAGGACTAGGAGACATCTATTACGGTTAATCAATGAACAAACATTACAAAAGTAATCTGTAATTTCTTTCTCTTAATAACCAAGACAAGTAAAAAAGAATTTCTACACAAGTAGATTTTCAAACGATTGCCCAAAATATCTTTCTGCAAAATAGAACAGTTTCTGTCTTCTTGTATTTGTCTTGAAGCTCATGTGTTTCAACTTCCCAAAGGAACTTAGGAGCCAAGTCTCGGACTCTTGAGATGATTGATTCCTCGTCTCTGATAACACGGGTTAGGCAATTGATGGTAAGGTGTGGGGTATCCAAGACAAGATTTCATACTGGGAGGAGCCGGTTCACCGCACAAGCTACCCAAACTATGGCTTAAAAGCATCCAAAGAGAAGCATGGAACATATTTAAGAAAATATTTTAGGTCTTTTATGTAAAAACACAAAATATTAAGGTTTTATTATTAATTCATTTTTTGTTGGTTTTTTCTTTTACTATATTTCATGGGCTTTAAGTTTCTAAGTTAATAAAATATTAGTTAAGTCGTTGATAGTAAAAAGTTTTAGTAAAACTTTGTTTAGAAAAAAAAACTAAACTAAACCAAAAAAAAATTCTTTTTATTTTTGTATGAATTTAAAATTGTCTTCACCAAAAAAAGAATTTTGTACAAAATTTTCTCTTTGATTGATTTCATTATTAATTTATATTCTGTTTGCTTGTTAAGATATGTGACTTTAATTATGAAATGAAAGACTTTGCTTTGAAGAATAGAATTGAAAGAAATAAAGTTATTTTTACTATTTTTTTTCTTTTCTTACAAACTGTTTATGGATTTAAAAGGTGTTTTATCTAGTTTTAGTATGACTTTTTTTATATTACTATATGAAAGTATAAAGAGCACGGTTTTTTATTTGTTTAGGGCATTCGAAAATACCGGACCGGTTCTGAGAAGAGCTGCACGTTCACTTTGTCATGGAGTCCAAGTACTGGGAGCTGATGTATGTATACTTGGGGGTTTATCTGACTAAGTGTTTTAATTATGGAGTTTATGTGTTCTTCTAGCTCTATATGATAATAAATGTCTTAATTATAGAGTTTCGTACCTCTAGTTTTAAACTCATATAACCTAAAAATATAATCCATGTAATCTATTTTGATATGCACTTTATACTCTTAAATATATTTACATAAATATTCATTGAATAAAAATCTATTATGTTTGTTGTTGTTCATTATGAATACTATTTTCTACTAAAACATTATTGTACTAAATTTGAAGAGTGACATCTATTATTTTTGGGGGAACTAAAATAAAAAAAAATGAATGCCATCTATTACTTCTTGGGAACTAACAAAGAAATGAGTGACATCCAATAATTTTGGGAACTTACATAAGAAATACTAAATGACATTTTAACAGCAAAAAAAAAACAACTAAATATTTGTTCACTTAAAGTTGAAAATATATTTTTATAATGTTCTCAGACATTTTTTATGTTTAGCTATACAAATGAGATTAATTAGCGAGAGAATATGTCAGGATCCTTGTCGAGATTGTCATAAGTTAAACATACAAACAAATCCCGAATTAATATAAAATAGTCGGAAAAGGCATAAAACAACACATAAGTTACAACAGTTTATGAGCAAATAAGCTATATTCACTGGAGAGGGGCAAGCCACGAGAAAGGGGCCTCATGGATAACGTCGTGGAGAGTGTTGGAGGAGAGGTCGTAGTAACCAAACCCAGTGCCCGAGCTTGCATAGTAGACAGAATTAGGGTGAAGTCCGGGATATTCGGTTGCAGAGACGCAAAAGGCCTCCCTTTGGCCTAGGAAAATGCAGAGATCGCCAATGTCTTCAGTGTATGAACCGATCCCTTGCTCAAGGTCTTGTCTAAACACCACAAAGGTTCTGGTCTTACTCCTGCAAGAGATCCTTATAGGAGGGGGGTTCTTGCCGTTCCACGGCTCCACTTCTCCTTTCTTCAAATATAAGTATTTTTGTTTTCAAATAATCTAAGTGTTAAATTTACTTGCGTGAAAAACGGTTGAACAAATGACACGGGCTTACGGACCCGTATGATGGGACGGCATGCGTAGTCCGGTTTGTTTTCAATGGCATTGAAATTTAACACTTAGATTATTTGAAAACAAAAATACTTTACATATTAAAAACTTTAGTTAAATAAAAACCTTTGAAATAAAAACATTTTATATAATAAAAAAATATAGTTTTTAAAAAATAGTTTACATAATAAAAATATTTGTAAAAAACTATAAAAAATAATATAAGTGTTAAATTTACTTGCGTGAAAAACGGTTGAACTAATAACACGGATTTACGGACCCGTATGATGGGACAGCATGCTTAGTCCGGTTTGTTTTCAATGGCATTGAAATTTAACACTTATATTATTTGAAAACAAAAAATATTTTATAGTAAAAACTTTAATTAAAATAAAAAACGTTTGAACAAAGAAAACCAAAGAAAAAATTCGAGAAAAAACAGCGAAGAGAAAAAAAAATAACTATGGCGCCTAGCCGAAGTGGGCGGCCGACTCAACTCATTGAGTCACATGGCCGACTAATAATTTTGCAATTAAGAGTTGTTAACTAAATAAGAAGATGCAGATGCTTATATATATATAGGACCAATTCCAAAGACCCTTTCCTCTAACAAACCGATGTGGGACTTTTGTATAACGCCGACTTTCCTTGGGTCGGCTTCAATATATGTCAATCGGCCCAATTAAGTAAATTTGAACCGTCTAAACCAGAACGTAAACCGGATTAACATTTGAACTTGCGCTTTCTGATTTTTGTTAAGTGGGAAATTATTATATTGTCGATGTGGGACACAACATGTCTCATATTTATCGAATTGCAGAAACTCATACTTGAAGATCAAGAAGCTTCTAGTTGTTGCTTGCTAAAGCCCAGACACAGTGAATATAAGAAAGTAATTTTCTTTTGTCCCACATCGAACCATCTGCTAAAGCCCAGAGTGAGTTTGGTCTCCTCTTCGTCTTCTTCGTGCTTTGTTCGTCTATCAATGCCTAGTTTAGTCTACAAAGCCATCGATTATTCCCCAGAAAAAGTATTTGATCCTTGTATTCGGCTCTAATTTCTTCACGAGTTCGCAGTATCAAGTTGTTAGTCTACAGATTCTTGTTCAGGTACATGAATTTGATGAAGGAGGCGTTGCGTTTTATATGCTCATCTAATTTCTGGAGGATGGCTTTGTTTTGGAACATTGCCCTCCTTTTTTCTTACTTCCAATTGCTTAAAAAGAGTATCTTTGGCTCAAAATCAAGTTCCTCTTCTTGCTCCAAATCCAATCATTCACACACACCTATTTGTGTTATCACTGGTGTAAGTCATTCATTCTCTTCATTGCCTCGGATTATGCAATCTAGTGTTAGTTTCTGTTTTTGAATTCATTGCAGGCTACTTCGGGACTTGGTAAGGCCACTGCGTTTGCTCTATCAAGGAAAGGTTTCTACGTTGTTCTTGGTAAAAGAGTGTTGCTTTGGATCTCTTGTTCGATTATCTCTTATTGATATGGAGAGGATGACTTGGAACATGTCTTTTATCATATATTCAAACTGAATTATAAGCAGAGTCTTTCTTGATTTTGCAGTTGGAAGATCATCCCACTTACTATCAAAGGTTTTCTACGGTCCCTTTGATTTTCCTTGTACCGATAGATAGAAGAACCTCCTCTTTCACCTTTGTTGAATCTTTTTAATTGCCACTTTCTGTTGACAGACCTTGAGTGATATTAAGAGGCAGAATGAGAATGCCCAACTCAAAGCTTTTGAAGTTGACATTTCGTCTTTTCAATCAGTTTTCAAGTTCAGAAACTCTCTAGAGCAATGGCTTTTTGAATCAGATTTGCATTCTTCAGTCCAGCTTTTGGTGAACAATGCTGGAATACTGGCAACATCTTGTCGGCCAACCGTTGAAGGCTTTGACAGGTGAGGTTTTCACTATAGTTTCAAAACTTTGAACTCTAAAGGTTACACTTTCTGTCTCCATATTTGTCAGGATGATGGCTACAAATTATGTCGGCGCTTTTACTTTGACCAAACTTCTCTTACCGCTCCTGAGAAACAGCCCTGTGCCTTCACGAGTTGTGAATGTTACATCTTTTACACATCGTTCTGGTGAATAGTCTGTCACAATCAGTCTGATCGAATGAGTTTCTATCCTACAATGAGAGTAAGATAGTTATTTTTCTATGTAGCTTTTAGTGGGAGGTTTGACATGGATTCTGTTACTGGAGTGAACTTTTCGAGATCAAAGCAATATCCTTGTGCTAGGATCTATGAGTATTCTAAATGTAAGGAAACCCACTCAAAGCATATATGTTTCCCCTTATATCATGATGATGCTAATATAGTTTATGGTCATTTATGCAATAGTATGCCTTCTACTTTTCTCATACCAGCTGCATAGACAGCTTCGCCTCACGGATGATTCACATCACGTCTCTGTTGTGTACGCGTCCTAAATACTCGTTACTCTATCAGACACTCTGTTATTATTATTCTGTTTGTAAGATTTGGGAATTTCCTTTTTGTTTTGTTTTGTTGTAGAGCGGTAGATCCAGGAGCAGTAAAAACAAACATAATGCATGAGCTTCCTTCATATATACAAGTCATTGCGTTTTATGGTCTCAAGATTCTTGGACTGATGCAGTCTCCAGAGGATGCAGCTGAATCGGTCATTGATGCTGCTTTAGCTCCACCTGTAAGATATGATCTTTTGGAATTCTTCATCTTATCTGCATCAACCTTATGTGGTTGATGAGCTCTATGTTGATCTGTTTTTGCAGGAAATATCAGGCAAATATTTCTTTGGCGGACAGGGGAGGACCATTGAATCTTCAGCGCTTTCTGGTGACCCGAAAATGGCTAAGGAACTTTGGGACACATCATGTCTCATATTTAACGAATTGCAGCAAACTCACACTTGAAGATCAAAAAGCTTCTAGTTGTTGCTTGCTAATGACATAATCCTAGGATCCAAACCTTCTGGTTTCTTGTATAAAATCAGTTTTTGTGTTTAGTATTCCCGTGTTGTTAGCATATTTCAGTGAAACGAAGATTCTTCTTCTAAAAATTCTTTTGTTCAGATTTCGTAATTGTTACCAAAAGAAAATTTTGCTTAGGGGATTTGTTGTCAACTTTTGAGCCATTCAACATAAAGTATGATTAGACCAACATTCTGCTTTTAATCCCATTGTGGTGATCACAAGTAAAAGTCTCCTTTTCACATTATAAAACTCACGGAACCATAGTTTCTGCAATAGACCCTTCGTGAAGGAAGGAATAAAGATATAAACGAATAAACCGAAAGTCATTAAAAAAAACGAAAGAAGAATATTTCATATGACAGTTCCACCATTATAAGTTTTAGCTCAAAAAAAACAGAGCTTATATAAAGAGCAGCATCCACACCAAAATGTTTAATCTTATCGCAAACCAAACCAAGAATCATATTCCCAAATCACAAATCACAATCCCCTTTTGTGTGTTTCCACTTGCATAAGTGAAAGAGCCAACACAAAGGGAGGAGCTTCTTCTGTTTTTCTCCATACTTTTGAGAAGATGCAGGACATGAGAGATCAAAATCCTCCTCAAGGTCAGATTCTTTCTTCGTTTTCCAATAATAATGAATCAAACTTATTATAGATTTGTAGTACTTACATCTCTTGACAGGATATCCAGTTGCAGAACAAGTATCGGAACAGCCTGGACAGGAGGACAAGAAGAAGAAGAAACCACGGTTTTTCGAAACAAAGAAGAAAGGAGACAGAGGCTTCATTGAAGGATGGTAAGGCTGTATATAAGTATCAAACAAAGTCACTATCTTTTCATAGCAACCAAAACTAGCTAATCAGCAAAATCTTTGTTGTTTTGTTTGCTTCTTTCTATGCAGTCTCTTTGCACTATGCTGCTGCTGGATTTGTGAAATGTGTTTCTAAGGAAAGCAATGAACACTAAAGTGTGTGACGCCTGCAGCTTCTTCTGTATCTAAGAATGGATTTGCTTATCTAATAGTTATACCTGAGAGAGATTGAAGTTTCAGATTGCTCAATTTCAATCTTCCTAAACTATCTGTGTGGTGTGTTTATTGAAAGAAGATTATTATACTAATAATGTAAAGGATCATCCTATTTTATGGGTCTTACAAGTTTTTAGACTTGGTCACACAAGTCCAAAGCAAAAATCTAATATCACACGATTATACAATCAAAATCCAAAATCATACAATGATACAATCAAAATCAACTGCTGCTTAAATATTTATTAATAAAAACCACATTTCTCTACACTTGAGAATAATAATATTAGTATTCACTCCCACCCAAAAATTGTCTTTCGAAAGCTAAGAAGATCTCTGTACACTGATCATGGGACTAAACCCTGCAAGTAGTTGAAGACGTCAGAAGCATGGTGATGAAGCTCCATATGTAGTAAACCTAAATGCTCCTGAGGTTTTCATAGCTGAAGCCTTCAGATATGGTCCCCAATCTTTCGCGGTCTCCTGTAAAAGAAAACACTAATGGGGTTACTTACTGGTGTCTCTAGGTCCTGAATGATTCGGCTTTTTGCACTATAGCTGAGATGAGCCAAACACTCAATGAAATCTATAAAACTTGAGAAATAAAAGAAGAGGGACATCATCAACAAAGCTTTGAGTGCTCACCTTGAGGTTCTACCCTTTCACTAGAGTCCAAGAAATTTTCCGCATCAGCCAATAGGAATGGTGATCTATCGTAGCTCTCCAGAATCTCTGGTATTAACAAACAAGTTACCTCTCAATCCAAAACGGCAGTTGCTGTGCGAGTTTATGCACAAGTTTCTGTTTAATATGTGTGTGGAGGAGAAAGAACAAAGCATAAATGCAAATGATACCTGAATTCTGGGAAAAGTCAGCTGTCAGATCAGAGAGGCTGAAGTTCCGAGGTATTTGTCCTAACAAGCCAAATGCAGAAGTGTCTGCATCAACAAGATCATTGAGGGATTGGTTGCTGGAATCATTGCTGAAAGATGCAATGGGAGCATCTCCAACTGTGGACTGTGCTTCACCACCATACATGTACGGAGCACAGTTTGAATATGCAGTCTCAGACTTGATCATTCCTTGCATCAAAGGCATATTTGTGGCCTGCACGGAGAGCGAGTTTGGTGGAGGATCAACTCTTCTAGAATGGGTTGAAAAGTCCACAGAAGAAGGTATATTTGTGTTAATTGCTGAGCCTCCATTGAGGTATGGACTTGACAGATTAGGAGAGGATTGATCAGAGTCCTTGCGTTCATAGCATAATTGTTGCTGATTCACTGTTGAGTGTTGAAAGAAATGACGTTAGTTGCAACATGATAACCTATTCACAACTCATTAGAGGATACAAAGAAATTTCTTAATAGACAATTTTCAGTACCTTAATTCCTGAATAAAAAATGTAGTTCAATATGATGAGCTTTCATATAAATACAAATCCAGAAATGAACATATGATAAATCCATAGAAAATGAAATTCGATCTAGTTCCAAACATATCTTACTTGATGGAACATGAGAACCATTCCTGTTTTGGACAGAAGCCCCTCCGGTTGGATGCATCAGGCGCATGTGGTTTATCTGCTGCTCAAGCAGCTTGTTATATTCCATTATCTGATGCTTCACCATGAGTCTCAGATAATATGCCTTGAAAAATTCGCGGTTCTCTTCTTCAAGCTTCTGCCAAACTGTCAACTCAGAAGGAAAATGTTCTACCATAATTATCTACTAGAAACCCATAAGTTCAATTGTCATATATCTATTATTTTGAAATAATGTTCTTAACAAGTCAGACTTGCTCCATAAAGTTGTACAGTTTTAAATGTGCTTTTGACTTAGGATGTCTTAAACCAGAACCAACATTGAACTATGAGAATTACCCGATCAGGTACTAATTGTTTCAAACAAATCCGAGAAGTGATGAGGTTACCTAGTTCTGTAAAACCAGGTTCGATCTTAGCCTGCTCTAGTAGAGTATCCACAACTTCTTTCTGGTTCATGTAAAGCTGGAGGCATCGTTCAATTAGATTCTGAACCTGCAAAGAAACAATAACAGGCCAGAAAGAATATTATGTCACATATTCTGAAGAGGTTTACACACCCAAGCCAAGCTGACGGTCTTCCTTGATAATTCCAAATGTACAGGTAAACGGCAACAGAAAAAAAAAGTGAAAAAATATTTCCTTGCTTAAAGATGACATGAAACTACAATCTTCAACTTACCAAAATAATTGCAAACGAGTGAAAAAAAGAAAAAAATTCAAGAGAGAAAAATGAAAACTTTACCAGTTGTATATCTTCACGCGATACCCTTCTCACTGTTAAACTTGACATGGCCCTTCCTGTCAGAAGAAGTATCCAACTCCTGACATAACCAACTCTAAAATGTAATTAACAGACAAAAGCATACAATTAAGACACCAAAAATACCAAACATTTAATCTCCTAGTAAACTGAGTTCCGAAGTAGAGACCAGGACCAGATAATACATTATTTTCACAATACATACAGAGTATTGAGAAAATTATATATATCTGAGCATCAACTAATTCACATGCAGAGGATTTATATCCATTTGACCAATACCACAAACTTAGCAAACAGATTTGATAAATTGCCTAATATAAGAAGACACACTCAAAAGCTACGTTTCGCCATAGACATCAATTTTCAACATCATATTTATTTTTACTACAAAATTGAAACTTTTTGCGATTAACCGGATAATAACAGCTAACAAAATTGTATTACTCGTTGGAAGCATTTCAAGGTCCCAAGAAAAAGAAAAAAAAGAGAAAAGGGCGTCGACAGAAGAACCAACAGAGGAAGATGGATTTAGGAGCAGGAACTTAAACAATTCGAAAAACCATAATTTTTTTCCAGAAATTATTGATATCTTGTTTAACGAAAGCTGGATCAAATCAAATCATATTATAACCATTAACCCAAATAAATCGAAATTATAAAAAAAAAAAAAAAAAACACGAAAACCAACAGATTAACAAACCGGAAAATATGAAAAAAAAAATAAAAAGAATCGATGAGTGAAGACAAAAAAAGCTCACAGTAGAAGAAGCGGATCAGAGAAACCCTAGCGAAACCTGAAGAAGAAGAAGAAGACTCGAATCCGAAAGCAAATCGTCGATAGAGAAAACAGAAACCTTTTTTATTTCTTTACTTTTGTCTCTTTATTTATTTGTTCTAATTTTAATATTTGCGGAATTATGAGCAAAGAGAATCTGCCACGTGGATAATATCAGCTAAAGATCTCTGGTTCGAGACTTCGAGTACTATTCTTCTACTTCATTAACCGCCATAAATAAGTCACATTGACTTTCAACTGGAAAAATGTAAAAAAAATACCAAAAAAGTCTCCAACTTTATTTTTTGATAAAATAAATTGCTAGTTTTTATTGTAGTCATTAATTCTTGTTGATTTCCCATTTTAATCACTAATTTTTGTTAACTTTACCAAATAAGCCACATCGTTAAATTGACTAACGGAACAAATTAACGGAGTTAATTTTTCATTAAAATTCTATGTTAAATTACAGAACAATGTTTTGATTGAAAAATAAAATTCAAAAATGATAGTTAAAAAGGAGTTAACTCCATTAAATTTGTTTCCTTAGTCAACTTAATAATGTAACTTATTTGGTAAAGTAAAGAAAAGTTAACGATCAAAAATAGAAAAACAATAAACTCATAAAAAATGATTGCGGGCGTTGATCATTGGTGTATAAACACAGATACAGACACAGACACAAACTGAATGGGTTAGGTTTGTGTTTGTGTCTGTGTTTAAGTTGGTGCCTTTAATTGGTGTATCCCCTTCTCGGGGTTCAAGGACATTTCCTTGTGCCTCTATTGTTTTGGTTTCATCAGTTCTTTGGTGTAGCAGTTTGGGTTTGCCTCTGTAATTTGGAGCACTTTTGTTCATGCTTTCATTTCTACAAGAGTTGTTTGTTTTGGAGCTCGAATTTGGATTTTCTTTGGACCATATATCCGACTTCGATGCTTGTTTGTCTAGTTAGTTCTTCTCGGGGCTCTTGTCATTTGTTGTCGCTCTGATGTCTATTGGTTCTTTGGGAAGGTTTGTTGGAGTTTTTTTTTGTCCCAGTTTCAGCTTTGTTATTTTAAGTCCTCTTGGTACCGTTTTCATAATTTTACCTCCATGTTTGTTTCCTCGTTTCTTTGGGGCTTAGATTACTTCTTTCGGGCATTGTTTCCGGAAATATCTTGTATTCGATGGTTGAGTAAGCCTCATCCAATATGTTCATTGGTTAACGTTAAATTGCGGTGTTTTTTCGTATTTCGAAAAAAAATATGTTTTAATTTTTACATAGAAACCTAAAATTATATAATTAAAAATCTTTATAACATCACGTAAAGTGAAACGAAAAATATAAAATTTCAGGACTTTATTGGTATGTCAGTTCAACTATTTGTATTTAATATGAAAAGAATTTCGGTTAGTTTAGATCAATTTCACAACAATGTTTGGATTCAACTCGAATAATTCAATATAGAAAATTCTAAGCCGTTCAATTTATTTAAAAATTTCGGTTCGAGTTCGGATTAATGAATATTGATTCGAATCTTTTGCCCACCTATAAAACTTTTTTTCACATTTAGTTTTTTTTTAAAAATTTATTTATTTATATAAACTACTAAAATATTTGATTAAAATCTAATATAAAACGAAAACAAAGCCAGGCTATACCCCATTTTGACACCAAAGATTCTCTTTTTGAATTTGAAAAATAAAAGACTAAACACTAGAAAAATGTCACTAGAGAATCTTTGATGCCCTTAGAAGAATTAAATAAATAATCCTATATCAATAAACTCCAGAAGTAGTTCTTCTTGGGACTTTTAAGTCCTATATCATACGAAAAACTAAGAATATAAGGTTCCAGATTCGAAATATTGAAGACCTGTTTCGTGAGTGAAACAAATCTTTAAGGTTCACCAAGAAAAGATACGTGACAAACTCACATTTGGCCCTATAAGGATCTCTTCTAAAAGATCCTATGACAAACTTCAGGGGAAACCAGTTCTTGAATCGCTTGGAATCAAGACCACGGTAAAGCGGGTTACATGAAGAACGGAAGAGTGAATTACCTGAAATCACGAGAAACTCCACAACGGTTACGGACCTACTATTATCAACAAGGCCTTCATCCTGCTAAGAAATCGTCATAGTGGTCATCATCGCTATCGATATGGTTAGCAGCAGAAGAATTAACACGCGATCTCATGCGTTTGATGAGGAAAACATTGTAGTAGTAACTGAGCAGATCCTTCTCACTTTTTCTTGGGAAGGCATTGGAAGCAAATTCCCAAAATCCATCACTACTTGACAAAGGATTCTTTTTTACAAGAGCTTCGAACCTTTGTTCTTCTTTGGCCGTCCACGACTTTGACCCAACTTCTTCACCCATTTCATCAAATTTCCATGTATAGAAAGCGCGGTTAATTTCCTTTTCCAAAAGCACTCGTGCTTCTTTAGTGTGTCGTTTTATGCAATTAATTGACCTTGGAGAAGCACAAGAACAAGAGTCGGATCTTCCTTCGCCGACTTTTTTGTAGTGAACTGTCTTCTTTAGGCTATATGTTGGCCAAACACCAGTTCCCAGCCATCTTAGAGTATCGGAATCTCCGGGACTACCGTAAAATTTGCCCTTCTTGGTAGGGGCAATCCAAACCGGAATTTCAGCTTGGAACCCCGGACCGATCGGGATAACTGGCCTTGTTTTGTTGGACCTGGGGGTTACATCTTTGGGAGTCTTGTTGCTAACATTTTTAGGGTTTGGTGGGTTTGAATCATCAGCAGGTTGTCGTGAAGAAAAACAGAGATGTGAGGATGGAACAAAGGACTGCGGTTTTTTGCTTTTCTTCTCAAAACTTGAATCACTAGTATTCTCTATAGACTCTCCAGGAGCTGTAGAGACTGCATCATCACTCCAAGGCTGTTCCCGTGTCCTTTTGTTCTGGTAAGAGATAGAGATACCGTCAGAGCAACCGAGAAAATGTCTTTGGGCTGGTAAAGAGAGGACTCTATGGCATTGGCATGCTCATAAGGAGTCACCAATTTTTGTTCGCGTCCCATCCTTTTCATGTTTTTCTTACAAACTCGCGCGAGCTGTCGCAACTCTACTTAAATAAAGTGAATAAAATCTAAAAGTATGGCTATTTTCAAGCATCCATACGCTTGGAGACATAATAGTGCTGCCTTATTGCCTACATATAAACTGGATCTAAAGTCAAAGAATGTATTACCTTGAAACACCTGTCAGATTCGTGTTTTGCAGCACCACCAGAAGAATCTCCTCTGCCTATACAAATCTCTGGAGGCATTGGGAAAAAGTTTTAATTAAATTTTGTTTCCTTTTTCTACCTCTCTGAATGTACGAGATCAAATCTCTAGCCACTATATTATACAGTAACTTCAACGTTTTATTCACAGAATTTTTTATTGGCACCATGTATCTGGTTCGTGTTTGCCATAGGAAAATACTCGTGGTGGTGACTAGGTTCCAGGAGGAGTTTCCTACAAGCCCACCACGGATATAGCACTGGCTCATAGACCCAGTGATCAGATGGCTCAAGAATATTGTTTACACCCGTGGGGAATAACAACAGACTATCTGCTGAATTTACAGAATAGCCCCAGGTTTCTCCTACCACACGGCTAACCCCATGCAGTTATTTATCATGTCATATGTACCAATAATTCAGTAAATAGCTCCTTTTCTGACTTACTATCAAAAGACATACCAGATGTTTCAGGAGGGCAGTTGGTCAGTTTCTTAGGAATGGACTCAATGGTGCACACCATTGCTACACTTTCTGATCTATACACATCCCTTGCCCTCTTGACAGCCAAAGTAGTCTGGAAAGAGAAAGATTCGCCAGGTAAATTTTCATGGTCATTTAATTGAAAGTAAGAAAGCAACAAGTAGAACACAATACAAAACATAAAACAGTGGACGTCTTCAAATGCATTGTGTAAATGAAGATACAGCATACCTTGCAAGCATTAACGGATTTGGAGATAACGCTCTCGAATACATCTGGATGCAATACAAAATACTCCATTAAGTACTCCTGGACTGATTGGTCAACGATTTCCCTGACATATGGATTTCCTAATCTTGTCTTGCAGATATTAAGAGGCAAAATATTAGTGCGAACAATTAATCGAAGAAAGTGGGAAAATATCACAGCTTGCTACACAGATAAGATTGCCAAAGAGGAGGATTAACAATCACTATGATCTTGCGTACCTGTGTTTGACCTTCAAACTCAGGTTTTGGAACAATGACTGAGACAATGCAAGTCAGTCCTTCCATAACATGCTCCTCAGTCAAGATAATATCCTTGTCCTGAACAAAATCAACAACAATAAATTTCACCATCAGTTATACAAAACATTGGAAATGCCTCCCTGACACTTGTAACGTAAAGCTCAAATGGGAAAGAAAGCTGTAAGTCATTTTATTGTCTTTAAAACTATGGAGATGCTGAGAACTTTTACAGCAAAGTCTAATATGCTGCAGATGTGAAACTATTCAAAATCAGTTCAATCTGTGAAGAGGGGGATATATTGGAAAATGACTCAAACTGGTGATGGCAAAAAAGTTCAAAACCTAGTAGATAGAGAAAGAGAAAGCGTTTCATAGACAAAATTGGTCAGTGATGTTGAATGGTCTTATACCTCAACAAGCATCGACTTCTTCACAAGGCTGTTAAGAGTTCTTGTAATTGACGCTTTCACACCATCTATGTGTGTTCCACCATCCATGGTGCGGATGCCATTGGCATATCCCAGAATTTTGTTTGAATATCCATCTACGCACCTGGTACAACAACAAGAAAACAAAACAGGGGTCAGATAAATAGGATTTTATACAGAGTAACTAGAACATCAACACACAATAGTAACAAAAAGGGACATGCCATTGAAGTGCAATGTCTATGGTGGAACCATTAATCTCTTTTCTGAAACCCAGCACATCATGAAGCGGTCTCTGAAGAAGTGCAGCCAGTTAGTATTTTTCAAAATAACAGATAGCGGTCAATAAAGGTTGGCATCGTCCAACATATAATATCTTGCAGTGTACAAAAGATTGACAGGCTTCCTACAACAAAAATCCTCACCTTATCAGCATTTAGCCAAGTAACAAATTCACTTAAGCCATTAGCATATAAACATTCTTTACTCGAATCGTTATCCTCCATTTCCAGAGAAACTGTAACCTGTACAAGCTATAAAATATAAAGGTACTCTCTGTCACAATCCAAAAACTCATCATGGACCAACAAAACCAATCCTTTAACTCTTGAAAAATTCAAACAAATATAAGGCTTGATCTTACCAGTTTAATATCTTGTAGTGGTGATACCCTTCTCACAGTTCCACTGTACATTGCTGAAACTTATGAAACAGATGTTTGTTCCTGGCAAAGAAGAAGCAGTAGAATAGGGTTGATACACAAAAACTTAAGAAGATATGCAACACGACCACAGAACAGAACCACAATCAATTGATTAAGACAATTATATTCCACTACAAGAAATGCAATGCTTGAAGAACAAAGATCACTTGCAGCAACAAGATCCAGATGAAGCAATTAATGAGTAAAAGCAGCAACAAGAAGACGGTTACTAGTACTATTTATGAACGAACAATCATTCATTTTGGCCAAAATCAGGTTTCACAAACCCAAAATCAACCAATCATGTTAATTTTCTGGAGAAAACATATAAAAATCACAACCAAAAAATAGCAGAGCCAAATCAAAACTGAATTATGAAAATGGATCAAAATTGATTTCTAACAGAGAAGAGAAGGACGAATTCGATACTTGTAAATAAATAAATTAAAAAAACCCAGAGAAATCACATCAACCCTATCGGTGTCATCATCGGCGCCTTAATCGAATCCGAAAAATACGCGAGAAAATCTCGAAATCGACAAAGAGAGGGAGAGAATTAAGCGAAAAAAAAAAAAAACTAACCTTACTTTTTTTATGAACCATCAGCGATAATCATCAGTCATGAATTAAATTTGTGTGTCCATTTCCCAGAAAATTTATCAAACAGTCAGTTATTTATACGGAGAAGAAGCATTGAAAATATATGAGGACAACAATACCAATAACACACAACGATAAAAAAAAAAAAAAACTAAAAACAAAAACAAAGAATTTACAAAATGTTTTGCCTCAAAAGATAGATTCAAAAGTTTTGAAATAATTTATTTGAAAGAATATACAATTTCTCTTTTTACAAAAGGAAGGAAAAAAAAAAAAAAAGAATACAGAGTTTCAACTTTTATAATCATCGTTAATAGAATTCAACCTCTTTAATTTATGAATATTTTACATCAAATGAAAATTATGAATTTGTCTAACAATCAAATTAAAAACGAAAACAGTATGTGTTTAGTCAAAATTATTTGTGTTAGGTTGTTTAAGACATATTACGATTAGACTCGAGAAAAAATATGAAGAAAACAAACGATTACAACAAAATTGATCGACAAAATATTGTTAAGGTGTAAGAAATATTCTAGGTTTGAATTTTAAAATCGTGATCTCTTAGATTTTCTAATTCTTATCTAATAAAAACCAGATTTTTTAGTAATTATCTTTCCTTAAAATATTAATCTATTAATGCTTAATTGCGAAAAAAGATATTGTGATATTTGTTATATAAAAAGGAAAAACCTTTTTCACAAGATTTTTTAAAAAGATTATCTAAAACTTATGGAAGAAAGAACAATTGGGGAAAGGAAAGAAAATAAAAATAAAAGGAAATGTATCATAAAGGAAATTCTCAAATTATGAGAAACCATACAAATCAAAGAGCATAATGATATCAAGAGTTTATGAAAATTCTATGAACTTTGACATAGTACTAGAGACATATATGTCTAAAATCAAATCACGATGAGAGAAGACCGAAAGCTACGGAAACAACCAAAAACTACAACATTACACAAACAAATCACAAAAAAATATTACAAGGGAAGACCGAAAGCTACGGAAACCACCAAAAACTAAAACATTACACAAGCATACAACAAAAAGAAATCACAAGCGAAAACCCCTTAAGCAGAGATCCGGGAAAAAACACTGATTCTAAAGATCCGGAAAGAAAAACACCGATTTTAGACAACAAAAAGAAATCACAAGCGAAAATCCCTTAAGCAGAGATCCGAGAAAAAACACTGATTCTAAAGATCCAGGAAAAAAATACCGATTTTAGACAACAAAAATAAATCACAAGCGAAAACCCCTTAAACAGAGATCCGGGAAAAAACACTGATTCTTGAGATCCGGAAAAAAAAACACCGATTTTCAAATCGTAAATTGAGTTCGACATAGAAGTTCATGAAGTTTGACATTAAACATAATAATTTTGTATATCTATGTTGAATTATATATAGCCAAAGAAAGAATTTAGTTACCTTGAGATCTTGTGGTAAAAAAAATAGAACAATCTTCTAAAGTGTAGAGTTTGTATTGCTTTGATGGTTTTCTTCTACTTTAGGGTAGGTAGAAAATAGTTTAGAGGGTGGGGTGAGAATATTTATAGTGAAAATCTTAAAACCCTAGACTAAGTAAGTTTTCTTTGTTAGGTCTACTCGCAATATTTTTAAATGATTAATCTGTTGCGGGCTTTGCATGGTAGAGCGGTATGCAAGGCCCACGTGATAACATATAAAAATGTTCGATTTGCGAATTTTTGTTATTTTTTAATTATTTCATGGATACTAAATATAATAATTTACATTTTAAAATATTATGAAGAAAAAAACTAGCAACTTTTGTATAAAATAACTTTATAAACTATTTATATTCAAATTATATATTATTATTTTATATATATATCTAATTTTATTTAATTAAAACTCATTAACTTATTAGTTATATATATATATATATCGAAATACTGAAATAGGCCCAATATTAAAAAAAAAAACTATTTTGGGGCCGATTGGTAACGAGTGTGTAGAGACTTTGACTGTAAGAATTTTTGTTGTAGAGACTTTGACTGTAAGAATTTTCGTTGTAGAAACTTTTGATGTAAAGACTTTGACTGTATAAATTTTATAACCGATTGGTAAAGACTGTGACTGTAAAAACTACGATTTTAAATAGTAACTACCAAAATATGTGGGAAAATGGATCTTAAAGGACAAGAAAAAAAAATTAACTTTAAATCAATTGAAATTTTTCAAAAATTAATTTATTTGTGAATGTTATAAGAGTTTACATACATATGAAAAAAAAAACTCTTAAGCTTTTTATTTTTTTATTTTGAAAGTCTTATTTACTGTGACTTTTACAAAAAAATTAAAAACAAATAGTAAAAAGTAAAAAAGAGACTCTGAACTTTGAAAGCTTTAAAATTTATTAAAGCCAAGAAAGCTTGATTGGAAAAAAAAAGTTTTAAAACTCTTAAAAACTTTTTAAATTATTAAAAGCCTCGTCCAATCACCTCCTTTATCTTATAAATCTTTGAAAAATAGATCTAAATATATTTAATTTTTTTAATCAAAAAATTCAAAAAGTAATTTTTATCCTAAAGATCCCAAATATATTGGGCCGGTAATGGACCTAATCCCTGTGGCCTTGTTTTAATAAGCTACGGGGATTTGACGCACAACAAGTCACAAGACTCATATTGTTAAACGAGGTTAATTAATTGCTGACAAATGGGTTATTTAAATTGGATAAAGATGGGCCGGGCCTAAAAGGCCTAGAAATCCCGTGAACTGTGAAACCTTTAAGAGGTTTCTCGTAAGCAAACCACATTTGGTGTTGGTCATATACGATTCCACTATTTTGGCAGATAGTGATTTTTTTAAGTCACACCATTAAGTCTGAAGGACAAAAGAAACATGGAGATGATTTATTTGGTAAAAGAATTTCAGTAGATGTCTAATCATCGTGTCAAACATAACAACATACATGACCAATGCCAAGTTAGTGGGAAATAAAGGTTGAACTCTAAATATTTGTCTCCAAGACCAAGAGGACATGGTAGTCGTCTAGAAACAATTCAGTTTCAAATACATATTTGGCTATTTTGGTGGAAGCAGTCATCAAGGAGCATGATCGATCGAAATAAAATATTTTGCTCATATTAGCTTTGGAAGAAAAATTCCAACAGGGCAGATCTCGAATATCTAGTCGATCCATCCTTCTCTTTAACCGGTATCCAAAAGATTCTCTTACCTCTTTGAGAAGAAGCACGATCTCATGTCCACAAGGGACAATAATTTTATGCACATTATTTGACTAATAAAGTCGAATTTTTTTGTATAACTTAGTTAAATAATAAGTCTGATTGGTAACCAAAAGCAAAAATAAGCTTTTTAGCTGTTAGCTAAACTTGTAAGCTTTTTCGCAATAGTGCAAAACTATAAAAAAGAGCTGTATGAGAAAGTTGTACAAAAAAACTGAGAGTAAGACTTTTAGTAAAGCTTTTATGATTGATAAACTTTAAAACTGTATGCTTTGTAAAGCTTTGAACCGCGTTACCAATCAATACCAATTATTCGAATCAAATGACCACTTGTGTTGAGTTAAAACAATAATGATGTATGAAACTAAAATAACTAATAGTGTGATGTGTTAATATTAGAGTTTTATATATATATATATATATATATATATATATATATATTTTTGTCAATGATCTGCTTGAGTTTGTTTGAATTTTTCTTTGATAAATGCATTTTACCTAACCACGTTTATTCCGTTGTATCAAAAGATTTAATACAAAAAATATTACGATCAGAACTTTTAAAAATCTTATGAGAGAGAAAGTGTACGTAACCAAAAAAAATTTCATATCAATATTAGTCGTTTTCTTTAAATATATAAACAGGCCAAAAGTAAACTCAGATATAAAGACCTAGTTACTAAAGAGGTTTGGTATTAGGTGTTAAGATATTCACATAAAATAACTAGTAAACTCATATATATATAATTAGTTTTAAAAACATGGGTAATTGACCAAATTGAATATTGTTGTGGTCTCTTTTTGAGTTCCATATACATAATTTCGAATCTGATTTGTCTTCTTGTATTAATTTAAGTATGATTGGAGAACATTATTAGGGTAATTAACTAACTAACGCATTAAGAATATAAAAGGAAAAACGAGGAAAGTGAAAGGAATCATAAAAATTAATTGGTTAGAAGAATCAAACAATATAAGCAACGCTGGCAAAATTGTCTTGACCACGTGGCCTCCACTGATCACACAATGCCACATATCTTGGAAACTCTCTCTGGCAACTCTTTTATTTTCTCTCAATTTGATTACATTTGCTAGATCCGAATATTATTTTTTTGTTTCTTCCGTCGATCAGAATTTTACCTAAATGGTAATATACTAATATCGATCGATATTTTTTTTCTTTTTGTCGGTGAGCTTCCGTAATTTTTTTCGAGGGAATTTCAGTTTGATCATATTATATAATGATTTTGTAAACCATTATATAATTGCATTTGTTTCTTTTTTTCATGTGCACTGTTTTGCATTCACTCGCATAAATATGTCAAACTCTGGTTTTATTTAAAACAAATATATTATTGGATCAAGACAACTGGGGGAGAGAGAAAGTTGTACAGATATAGTAAAAAAAAGAAATGGAAAATGAATCTCATATTGATACAGAGATACGTACGTTATTTATACAGGACTTACAAGTATAACAGTCAAAATATACATTTTACGTTTATTATATAGCACAAATAGCTCACCTGATCGAACCTAGAAAAAAATGATTAGAAAGAAGAATATGTCTCGAGCATGAATTTAATTACAGTCTTTGAAATAGCTCATCCCAAAATTTATCATTTGTTTTTTTTTTTATAACTCTGGAGAATCCCAGACCTATGAAGGGGCCGATGCTAATTCCCTGGGGGAGGTGCAGCCCACAGATAGACTCTTTCTCCGGGTATGGAAATGAGCCGAAAGCAAGGGTCCATATCCATGTGGCCAAGTGGAGATCTAACAATTGCGCGTTTGCGGGGAATCGATCCTTGGCCTAGACCAACATGGCGACTTCTCTACAAGTGGCAACCACTAGACCAAGAACACTTGGTTATAAGTTCAAGTTCGTAAGAATTCGTTTTTATTAAAACCTGATATTCGTTTAACTAAATCGAGAATGAAACAAAATCGTAAGAATTCAAGTTCTTTGGTACATGCATTAACCTGTCAAATACCAAATACACTATTAGAGGAAAAACAATCCAGTTTACGATCATAACCCTAAGGATTATAAAACAAAAATATGGCGATGTGTCGAAAGAGAATAGAATATACTTTAGGGATATGAGTAAAGAAACCGAGATTATAATTTCCTCCATGTGGCAAGATACTACACGACCACCGATCCTCATTGTGAGGAAATGAAACTATTTTTTTTTCTCTGTCGCGATCCCCACATGACCTGTTTTTAACGACCGTTATATATTAATTGGTTACTTATTTTCCCCACATACCGTTAATTCTTTATATAAGTACTTTTTTTTTGTCAAATTTTTTTTATATCCAGTCTTTGAAATCACTACTTACATAAATTTTTACAATAAGTTTCTTTTACCTGATGAAGAATTTTACATAAAAGCAAATTTTTTTCTTTTATGTGTGTTTATCGGCAAAATTTGGCCAAATATGTTGGAACTGGACAGTCATTAACAACAATTATGATATGAAATAATGAACATGGGATGGTTACATTTCAGGAGATTCCCTATGTATATTTCCAAGATCCAGTAAAAGAATCTGATCTGAGGAATATGACCAAAAGAGTTGCAAGTATCTCGACATGACACATGGTCACAATGCGTATACGATCAAATCATTTTTAGAAAATGATATATAGGTATTTTAGTAATTAAGATACTTATACGATCAACATTAGTATCAATCAGTGAGCTGCCACAATCTTAATTATTTTCATTATTTTTCACAATAAATAAATAAAAGGGACAAACAAAAAAAAGTTTTTTTTTTGTTTCCTCGACGAAAAAAAGGTTATAAAAGCATAACCCCGAATGAACAATTCTCATCAGTACAAACACTTCTTCCTCTGATCATCACATTAATTATTCTCTCTTTTTCTTCTCATATCGCACTCTTCTTCCTTTAGCTTCACTTTTCTATCGACAAAAAACAATACCCCTTCCAATAACATGGGTCATGAATGGTATTTTTTCCTTTTCAAACATACAATTTTCACCCAATTTTTATTCTTTTATTCTTAACATATAAATTAAAGTTTCCACGGTGTCTATAAATCATAATGTTATATATTATATGCACATCTTAAAAATATGGCTAATTCAAACGAAGAATTGTTACTATTTTGAGTGTTTTATCATATGTCTAACAAAAAAGTATTGCCTGTTCGATCGATATTCCTAGACCATGGATATCCTGAATAATTGATGCACGAGAGATGCTACGGATACATATATAAATATATCTATTAATTCTATTTTATGGTATGTTTGATGATCAGATTGTGTCTAATTAATTAATTGAAAATAAATAAAAATGTAGGATCGATGCAGAGAAGGAGTTCAAATGGAGCGAGGATGTCAAAGTTGAGAGTGAAGTGACTGAGATTGTTCTTGTTCGCCATGGAGAAACCACTTGGAATGCTGCCGGAAGAATCCAGGTA